TGGTGCTTAGGGACATGGTGTAGTGGGCATGGTGGTGTTGAGTTGATGGTTGGACTCGATGATCTTAGAGGTCTTTTCCAACCTTAATGATTCTACGATTCTATGATTCTACGATTCTCTTTTTTTTTTCTTTTTTTGAATTGTGATTATCTTAAGAGGGTCATGGCAGAAGCAGTCTTGAGTGTCGTATTCCCTGAAAATTTCTCTCCAGCTTCCAAATCCATTTCAGTTACTGTTCGGAGAGATCTGAGATCTACAGTCAGATACTGTGCCCCAGTCTGTATTTGCAGCCATTTCAGCTGTTGGTAGCACAAGCTTACTAGAACATGGGTAGACTGTCCTCTTGGATGAGGTGTAGGAAGGAGTGGACTGCTGAGATATCTTCTGAATGAAAAATTGGTGGGCAGTCATCAGACTGTTAATTTGAATAGAAGTGCCTGACCTGTGTATTATGGAAGCAGTCTTGCTCTTATGGCTTCTTAGGGCCTCTTATGACCTCCCATTTTGTTATGGCTGCATCTGCCTCCAGAGGCCAACTCCTTCTGCCTTTGTTACTAGTTACTGGTGAATCTCTTTTCTGAGATGCCATGGCGTGCTTTATTGCAATATCATCAGCATACGCACCTTGGTAGCAAATCCACTTGTTTTTGTAAAATGTATCGACTGTTGCGTCCATTCCTTGCTCTCCCTTTTGGTGGCTATCACAGCACTGTGGCTGAACGGGTGCTGTCTGTGCCCATGTGTATGAGGGTGGGAGAGACCATGGGCACTCGTAGGTGCTTTTACAAGGTTTGGGTCTTGCAGCTCCTTGGATACTCACAGATCCACAGTTAGATCCTGCTTGGAGAGTTTTGCAGTGGGGTTAAACAGGAGCTCTGCAGCAGGAGCTCTGCTCTGCTTCCCTTTCCCCTTGCATGCTCCAAGGGCTGGGGCGGGGGAAGGATGGCCAAGCGTGCCTGTATGGTCTCTCTTCAGTAAGTACAGGCCTACAATGTTGTCAGGTTTAACAAAGCAACTGTGTTTTCGGGTGTTTCTCTTTAGCAAAACACCAAAACAATTTACTGAAAAAATAATTAAATACCTCAACTTTAATTGTAGTAGGGGTATGATTTTTTTCAGCAGTAAGTCAGGTTAAACTTAAGTTGCATGTTTAGTATGAATATCTCTTGGGTTTAAATGCAGTATTGGATATCAGCAGGGCTACTTGCACCCAAGGATTAAATGGCTGAGACATTTATTTCGTCAATTGTTTTAAAATGTAAAGCAGTTTGAGTTCATTTGTTGCTTAGAAGAACAGCAAGCAGGGCTGTGTGGTTCGGCTGTAGGAGATGTTGGAAAAGCAGCTGAACGATATAAATGTGTAGATTCAAAGGAATCATTTTGTTGGCTTCACAGGTTTTATTAGCTGGTATGTGCTCATCACGTTGCATTTAGCAGATACTGCTTTTGCATATTTTGGCTCTTAAATCAGCGAGTAGCGATAAGCATATCCACAGTTCCCGGTCCATATGCTGAAGTATGGCATGAAGTTGGTTCGCAGACCAAACTGGAGTTGGAGGTTCTCTGGGCTTTATCTCAAAGGTGGAAACTCAATCCCAGGAAGCACCCCACAGGTGGCAGCAACCCTGCTGCCTTCCTGACGAGGTTTTGATAAAATTCCAGCGCGGATGCTCTCAGAGTGATCTGGCGTGCGTCGCCGCTGTGTGGAAACCCTCCTCAAACTGCGGCCTCTTGCTTTTCGTGTCATTCAGGCTGGGTTTTGGGAGGCTTTGCTTCGAAGTCCGGCTGAAAGCCGCGACTGGAGGCGTCTTGCAGCCTGCCGGGGCCGGTGGTGCCGCCGAGCGCCCCGGCCGCTGACAGCCGCGCCGCTCCTCCGGCTGCCAAGATCCACTGCTGAAACTATACTTTTTTATCAGGTCATGTTTGCGTCTGGCAAAGATTTGTAGACACAACATCATTAACAGCAGTGCATATTTTCACAAGATTTACCTCTTCAACACTTTTTCCAAGTTAGTAAATCATAGCTTCTTTAATGTCCTGCTGGCTGCGTGAAAAACAGGAATTTATGTAACAAGCTCTGGGCCGCAAACCTTTTCCTGTTAGGAAAATTTTTTTTTCATTGCTGGCAGAGTTAGGAGACAGCTCTGTTACTCAAAGAGCGACCTCAGATGTCCTCGGTACAATAATACCAGATTATAACATTTTTGATGACTAAGGAATAGCAGCGATTTCTTAAATATTTAACACTTGTGTGGCAGAGAAGAGGGAACTGAGCCTTAGCATGGTATTTTCTCTGCCTGGTGTTTTGTGTGTTTGATATGCCTATTTTGATAGTAAACAGTAAGCCTGAGCCAACTGGGTATGTTTACAAAATACAGTAAAAAAATGAACTGGCGCAGGAGGTTTTTTAATCAACAGACGTGCAGAACAACTTTCTTGCGACATTTCTAGAGCTGGACTTGTGTCAGCCGGGGAATCGGCTGTGGCCCTCGAGTGAAAACAACGGGCTGCGCTGGGCCGGCCTCACGAGGCCTCTCGGTCAGCCCTTGCGTCCACGGGCAAGTCCCAAGATGGATTTTTGAGCTTACCCTCCCGACGTGTTACCTGCACCTGGTGAGAAGAAAACTTCAAGGCCGCCTCTAAAGCCCTGTAGCTAGAGAGAGGATGAGATTTTGATTGCAGGGTTACCTGCAGTGAAGAGATACAGTCCTACGTTAATTAGTTAATATGAGAATGGCTTCCTTTAAAAATTGAATAAGGAAATGCTCAAATTGTCGCTGGTGTTTGTTTAACTGGGATAATTTGTTAAAGATTGGTCTTTGGAGGGGAAGAAGCGGTTGGAAAGGCTTCTGAGGTTAGGCACATGGTTTGACTCCTTGCTGTGCTGGTTGAACAGCGAGCTGCCATGAGGCCATGTTCTGCCATCTTCTGCTGTCAAAGAGCACCTTGTGCCCCTGCTTGGGGTGAAGCTCTTGGGGGAATACTCTGTAATTCCTGTCTGTAAGGAATTACTGTCTGTAAGGTGTTACAGACTGTAACACTTCCTTGCTGCCCTCATCTGCTGAAGGTCTCCTCTTCAACCCCATGCCTGCTGAGCTCTGCAGGTAGCCAGGCCTGCTTTGGCTGCTTGGCTTTCTGTGGTCCACAACGTGTCATGGCCCTTGCAGGGAATTTGAGCCTGTTGTCTCTGATTTGAGCCAGGCCCCATGAGATGACTGCTTTCACCTGGCATGCCTCCTTACGATCTTTGCTCCTTTTCTTCTGTCAGCTGGATGTATGGGCAATGGGGAAGAATGTGCGTCTTTGAGAAAGCAGATGTACACAGGAGGACAGGTAGAGTAGAGAAGATGAAGGAAGACATTTCTGGAGATGCTGCTGTCACAGGCAGCACTCTGGGTTGGGAAATACAGCAAAAGCAGCCAGAGACCAGGGCAGCGGCTGTGTCCCTCGTCCTCTGGTTTGCCTCACGAGGCATGCAAAGCTCCATGAGCTGTAAAGTCCTCATGGTTTGGTGCTGTAGTGGGTCTTGGGGGTCAGGTTAAAAACTTAAGAGAAGATAGATGGGAGGAAAAAGGTAGGAAAACAGGAAAGGCAGAACAGGGTTTTTGTAGGTCTGGCAGCCATTTAGTGTTTTGAGATAATTGGTCTACTGGCCTGCTGGTCAAGATCAGCCTTACTACTGCTTTCTAGAAACAGTCTTTCCATTTCTGCTCCCCCAAATTTTCCTTTAGACAACCTGCTAAAAATTACTGTGAATGGAAGGCAGCTACTGCATCATTGATTTCTCTGCCATTGAGGTCCAATTTCTGGTTTATCCATTCAATGTGTTGTTTTGTGGTTCCCTCCTAGTTGTTAAGCTGCTTGAATTGCAGTCCTAGTGCAGACCATGGGTCCCCATGTAGACTGTGCTACTGTCCCACCCTCCTGCCAACATCTGTGGCTGCCTGTTTCAGCACTCTTTGAACTTGTGGCCTTTTGTTAGCAATTATGTCAAAATATAGGACAGCTTTTCTGTTGATATAATGTTCTTTACCTATGCTCAGCAGAAAATTATATGAGGGAAAAAATGTTTATCTACAGCTTGGTAATGCAAAGGTTAGTCTCATGTTAAGAAGTCAATCTGTGGGCTTGGATTTTGGATTTTCGGATTTTTTTTCTTCTTTTTTTTGTGTTTATGAATGAAACATGAAACATTACTCGTGGCTCAGGAGATAATGAAAAGCTTCAGTACCTCTGGTCAGTCTCGGCACAAGATGTCTTGTGCCCTCAGGTATTCGAAGAGTCAATTTTGCGTATTAAAATGTTGATTTTGAAAGAGAAGGATGGTTTTAAGACTGAGGTTTTAAATGCAGTTTTGTCTATACAGTTTGCATTCCTTTCTCCCTTATGATTTCTTAGGCAATTTGTGATGTTTATTTATAAAAATAAGAACTTAATCCTCAACTGGTTTTCTATATGTGTTTTCTCACATAACACAAGTAATATAAACCTCACTAATGTTCAGTGGCAATACTCACAGGCTGGCATGTTTGCAGGGTTTAGTGATGTGCTTGATGAGATGCCATTATAAGGACCGTAGAACAGGATCTAGCATTCCTGAACTTTGCTTAGAATAATAATTTAAAAAAAAAAAAAATCCCTAAATGCAATCAGGCTCAACTTATTAGAGTGAAGTTAATAATGAGATCTTCAGTCGTCTTCTGGTATATTTTGTCTCCTTTATGAAGAATTTGTATTTAAGAACAGCTCCTTCAGTATTTTATTTAACTTTTTATAATGTCAGATGTGATCGGGCCACATGACAGACAAATTGACATGGCAACTCTCTGCAAGTTTGTTTCAGCCAGTTCTGAATGGTGAGCTGATAAAAGATGTTTCCAGACTGGCATGTTTTCCCATTTCATGATTACTCCATGTTTTCTAACAAAATGAGTGTATGTTTGCAAAGACAAATATTAGTACACCATAACCCATTTCTTACACCGTATTTTGTTTTTCAGAATTCAATCCGTCACAACCTGTCTCTGCACAGCAAGTTCATCAGAGTGCAGAATGAGGGAACAGGGAAGAGTTCCTGGTGGATGCTCAATCCTGAAGGAGGAAAGAGGGGCAAATCTCCTAGGAGGCGAGCGGCATCCATGGATAACAACAGCAAGTTTGCCAAAAGCAGAGGCAGAGCTGCCAAGAAAAAAGCATCCCTTCAGTCTGGTCAAGAGGGAAATGGTGACAGCCCCGGATCGCAGTTCTCAAAGTGGCCTGCAAGCCCCAGCTCTCACAGTAACGATGACTTTGATAACTGGAGTACATTTCGACCTAGAACTAGCTCTAACGCTAGTACAATTAGTGGAAGACTTTCTCCTATTTTGCCTGAGCAAGATGATCTTGGAGACGGGGATGTGCACTCCATGGTATACCCATCATCAGCCACCAAAATGACTTCTACTCTACCCAGCCTTTCAGAGATGAGTAATTCTGAGAACATGGAAAATCTTTTGGATAACCTTAATCTCTTGTCACCTAATACGTCAATGACTGTGTCAACCCAGTCTTCATCTGCTACCCTGATGCAGCAAACACCAGGTTACTCGTTCGCATCCTCGACCACAAGTATAGGTTCACCAAATCCAGACTACAGGAAATTTACGTATGCTCAAGCTAGCATGAACTCTTTGCCCCAGATTCCTATGCAGACTCTTCAAGACAGTAAATCAAGCTATGGATCGATGAGCCAATATAATTGTCCCGCAGGACTTCTGAAGGAGTTACTGACTTCCGATTCTCCACCACACAATGATATCTTGGCATCAGTAGACACTGGTGTTTCCCAGGCTGGTGGCAGGGCACTGGGCCAAAGTGTGCTGATGGTTGCTAACTCGGTGATGCCAACTTATGGTAGTCAACCGCCCCACAACAAAATGATGAACCCTAACGCCCGCCCTCACCAAGGACATAACCAGCCAACACCTGCAGTTAATGGTCGTGCCTTGTCACACACAGTGAACACCATGTCACATACTTCAGGTCTAAATCGCTTGTCGACAGTGAAGACTTCATTACAAGTGCCTATGAGTCACCCAATGCAGATGAATGCTATGAACCCGTATGCCCCTGTTAACAGTTGCAATGGCTACGGAAGGGTGGGAATTGTTTCCCTCCACCAGGAGAAGCTTCCCAGTGACTTAGATGACATGTTAATTGAACGGTTGGACTGTGACATGGAGTCGATTATCCGTAATGATCTTATGGATGGAGAAACGTTAGATTTTAACTTTGACAGTGTATTGCCTAACCAAAGTTTTCAGCACAGCGTAAAGACAACCACACACAGTTGGGTGTCAGGCTAGGATGTAGTAGGAAGGTAAGCTGTGCTTTTTATAATAAATCTGAAAAACAACTGAAGGGAAAAGAGATGTCAAAATGTAAAATCTGGGTGGTCTTCTGTGTTGGCATGTGAAGTGCCTCTATTACAGTCACTTTCCAGTCCTTTATTACTTTGTAGATCAAGTTTGCACAGTGCATTAGGATTGCCATATACCAACTTCTGTTACTTCATGTGGAGCACTAATGTTTTGCCACTGATATTTTAAACAAAAAACTTGCTGGTTACTAGCAATTAATGAATATTTTTTTTTTCCCATTTAAGTTATCTTTAAGCTAGTTTGAGCATATTTTAATGGATTTAACCTTTTGGTGTGAATGTTAATTTGTTCTTTTTGTTGTGTTTTTTTTTTCTTCCTAGGCTACGGTTAAATTCTCCAGACTTGTCTGACAGCAGGAACTGAAAAAAGCAGTACAAAGATGTCCTTCACCTTCCTTTTTAATTTTCTTGACAAAGCTGTGCGCATGCACTAGCTTTTTTTTGGGTCTTTTTTTTTTCTTTTTTCTTCCTTTCGTCAGAGTTGGCAGCAGACAGAGTATTTTCCTGTACAGGATGTTTGCCCAAGGTTTGCAGGTTATGTGCTGCTGTAGATAAGAACTGTGCCATTGGAAATTTCATTACTCTGAAGTGCCAAATTCACTACACCATATAATCACAGCAAAGACTCTTACTTACATCATGTTGTGCTTTCAGTTTTGTACAGTATGATCTGTAGAAGAAGAATTGTTTTTTTTAAGACTATCTGTTTTGGTCCAAGAAAAGTTTATAAACTTTTGTAAGAATACTGTGATGATCTCATGCCCTAAGTAAGTTTAACCTTCGTTGATGTTACCTGTGTTCTTATGAATTGAGATAACTGTGGACTTGCCTTGCAGCAGTATGAACTGCATTATTTTACTCAAAATTGCCACACATTTCATATGGGAACAGAATAGCCTGATAAATATGATCCTACTAAACTCACTTTCTATTCAGAGCAAACAGTAGGTTAAATGCCATTTGGTAAGTTACCTGTATTCATGTAAATTTATGCAAGAATATATCTGGATTTCATTGTCAGACTAATGACTTTATTGTTGGACTTAAGATAATTTTTGGAATACTTTCCAAGCTATTTTTCTTATAATTAAAGTCTACTTTTGTTACATAGGCAACTTAAAAAAAAATAAATCTGAGATCTGGCAGCATTCATAACCTTTTCATTTTGTATAGTATTTTAACTGGATTAAGTACATGTTTTTATAAATTTCCCTAGCACTTTGGAGTGCTAATAAAGGAAAAGCTTAATAAGTATCTTGAATACAAAACATTTCTGTCCCTTTTTTTGTTGTGTGATGTATAAATATAGACAACTTTATGTTTAGGAAATATTTAATCGGTTTTATATATGCATTTTTAGAAATGTCATCTGCTTCTACTATCATTTTAACTCTGACTACCACAAAGTGTTAAGTATTCATTGTTAGACGCTTGTACAATGCTTCACATTTATATTTATTTCATGGAGGTCTCATAATGTTTGTGCATGCAAGAGCAGGACCTTTTGGAGAAAATCCATAATTTTAGAAAAATTGACAAAATTGTCATTTGTCTTAATCAGCACTAGTTTTAAGGTCTGTCAGTGTTTCTGTTGTAATGCAGTGTGTTTGACAATGCAAAAGTGCTACTTTTCAGTGGGAGGCTAAAACTTTTGTAACCCCCTATTACAGGGCAAACATTACAGTTTTTTTAAATAAGAAAGATAAAGTAAGTGGCAAAGTTATACAAATGCACAAGCTTTACGGTAGGGGAGAGCATTAATGATAAAGGCCTTGTTCCTGCTCTTCTTGGAGTGGGCACACAGACAGCTACCTGAATATTTTCAGGATTGGGTCTTGGATAAGTGATTTCTGATTTTTTGTAATCACATGATGCAGTTTTCATGGATGTGTGGATAACGGGCCTCACCTGTCTTTTCACTGGTTGCTACACATCGTTTGTGTTATAGAAATCCTTGGAGCTTTTTTTATGCAATGACAGGATGAGCAGTTCTTGTGCTAGGGCTGTCTGTTGTGAAGAAGGGGAGAAATAAATATTTTTCACTGATTTTTGTTTTGTCTACGTAGCCCACAACTGGAAAATGTTCTAATTGAAACATATCTTCCCTGTAGTGATGGCGTGTGGTGGAGAAAGAAATGGGATGTGCCAAGAAAATGAAGTTTAGTAACAAGCCATATATTTAATGATCCTGTTATGACTTTCCTAAGGCTCTGCAATGTATTTATTGATGTGCTAGCATTTAGCTCCCTGTTGTGCTTAAATCACTACTAATTACAGCCGGTCCTACTTTTTTAGATATCCTATTACGGTTGTCAGCAGTTCCAGAGGTTGATGTTAAGCTGTCCTGTGATACAGGATCTCCCTCAGCATGAAATCGGTCTTTGAACTTCTGTTGAGCAAAATGAAATGTTCTTAGTGCCGAAGCCTCAATGAAGTCGCCTGCTTTTGCAGGCAAATATCTCTAGTAGCATCTTCACCATCAAATTCATAGTCTCTGAGACTTGATGGTAAATCCTGGCAGTGGAGCAAGCGGAGGGCTCACATATGGGTTTCTGAAGATCCTTCTTTCTGCTGCGTGTGCAAAAACGTTTGCTCCGAAATGGGCACTGATACGCATAGGCCAAAGTATTCATAAAATTCGCCTCTGCATGCAAAGAAAGCAGTACTTAATGCTATACTCCATGGGGTTGCAGCTGAACATGCTACATTTAACAATATACCTCCTGTTTATTATTTACTGCTACTGTATAACTTCCTGTATGCAGATATTTTCTTTATTTCCTTTTATAACTATGAATAACATAAATGTAGCCGTTCCTTAATTACAACAGTCTGTAGGAAGCCCCTTTTAATTATTGTGAGAAAGCAGTTGTAGATAATCAGAGGTTTCGGCTGTGTGGTCAAATTTATTTTCTTTTTTTTTTTTTTTTGTGGTGCCATTCCAATATTTTGCAATTGTAATTCTGAATACTGTGAAGTCTGGTGAAGGGGCATGTTGTCTGCCTTGAAAACAAACATTATGTGACCTCTAGTAATAAATCCTTTTTTAGTAAAAGTACCAAGTTTCTGGAGTAACTTAGTTTGTCAGAATTGTTGTAAATGATTGGTTTGTGAATTGTGCAGATGATCTTACCTATGCAGCCTTGTTTTTGACTTTTCTCTGGTTTGTACTGTTATTAAAAGTTTATTGTATTATAGAGCTGTTCAGATATTTTAAATATAAAGATGTATTGTTTCCATAATATAGCTATACGATATATGTTTAGGTAGTAGATGCATTAATTGGAAAGCTCTGCTTTGATAAACTGACAATTTGCCTACACTTATAAGCAAAAGTCATACTGCTTATTATCGGCTTAAGTCAACAGAGCATCCCTAAGAAGAGAAGTTAAAATTGGACCAATTATAAAACAGTATAAAATTTGCACTTGTTAAACCACTGGATGTATGTTAGTACTTTTTTATTTTTTTACTGATTTGAAATTCCTATTTTCATTATGAAATTGTTAGGATCCTTAATTTATGACTGATTTTAAATAAGGTATTCTCATTATTATTATTATTATTTTGGTAATCATAATGTAAAATGCAGCATGGTTTATGCAAGCAAAAAGCAAATTACTTGGCATTAAAACTGGCCTCCTTTTTGAGGGTGTTCCACAAACCAGCAATATCGTGAGAGATTGGCATGTACATACTGCTAGTTCTACTTGCGAGTGGTGTGACAGCTCTTCAATGCTTCACTGCTCTGACTTAGTCACATTGCAAAATTAAAATTCATACGTGGATATTTTCAGAAAAAGTGCCTGATGTACTTCTACAGACACACGAGAACAATCCCTGACAGTTTGTTGTATAAAGCCATAAATGTATATAAACTATGTTTAAAAGGTTTTGTGTCCTTTCTTATATATGGAGAATGAGATTTATACCAGGATTCTACTTGTGATTAGTAATCCTTCTACTCAGACGTTGTCGTAATCACTTTCCTTACCGCGTAATCTTTTTAATGATGATGATCCCATTTGGACAATCCTGATGGCATTAGCAATTTTATACGGAAAAATACCTCATGGTACCAAGTCTTGCCTGGCAAGATGATACCATATTAATGAGCAAACACTAACTGCAGAATAGTTAACAAATTTTCCATTACTTGGTGTAAAGGAATTTCTCTCTCTTGGCATTGCTTCTGGAATTGGAACTGTAGCAGGTACAGGAACCTAATAGGGCTTGTGTTACCAGTGTTTTATCACAACATAGTGTGCTAAAAGTAACTTGTTTACAAGTCTTTGAGACTAAACGCAAGAAGAATCCATGCCTGACTCTTAGGACTTGCGAGAGATCTTTGTGTAGAGACGCTTTGTTACTGGAAGCTGCGTTAGGCAGCATCAGACCGTGTTGCCAGTGCTTCAACAAGCCTAGTTCAGAGAAAATTACAAAAAAGTCCTGAAATCCTTTCAGAATGGGTATTTGTAAGTATAAGCTCTTAATAAAATTGCTATGACATGAGATGGTAATTAGTGTATCAGAATGTTATGTAATATGTTGTTAAAGAAGAAAAAAAAATGGGACGCTAACATCCGTCAAACTGCAGGAAAGAATTAGTCTTTTAGTCCAAATTACACGTTAGATCCTAATGCTATTAAATGTGGGAGGGAGCCAGCTCTGGAGAGACATTTTTCTCTTCCCTCCACTCCCCCTGTTAAAGCGAGACGGTTCACAAAGTCCTCTTGCCCCTCTTTTCCCTCGTCTTTGCCTCTTGGCTTCCTCTGCCCCTCCTGCCTTCCTGAAGTATGTACCTTTTCTTGGAGTAAGAGTTTTTTCTTTGCTGAACATTTGGGCTATATAGGCCAACCTGCACGGTGCTGCTCCTTTCGCAGCCGTGCTTTACGCTGCAGCAATAGGGTTGCT